AACAATTATCATGTCAAAATATATAATTTCGTGAAAATCTGAACTTTTAGATCTTATTTATTTTGATAAATGGATTTTCATCAAGTAAAAGCCACCTCAGTTCAAATTTTAAACTACGTAGTTTACAAAACCAGAATACAGAATATTAAACACAGGTAGGTATAAATATATTTTCTATTACATTATTTACACTAAAGAACGGTCTTTGAATAGCGCTTTTGCACCATGCAGCCCGCCTATTTGAAAACGTAAAAAAGATATCAAGAAGCTCACCAAACAGCAGAAATGGGATTAGACCTATATAACATAGTTTGCTCTAAAGTCGGTTCGTACCTAAAAAAATTACGAAAACCTTCCTAGGAAGAAAAATAATCATAATAAATAAGAACTAAAAGTTCAGATTTTCACGAAATTATATATTTTGACACAACTGTTTCGACAACACCGTGTCTATATCAAATGATAAAGACACGGTGTTGTCGAAACAATTGTCATGTCAAAATATATAATTTCGTGAAAATCTGATATGTACACTACAAATAATGGGTGTTTCTTTTCGATGTATAGAACTTTAAGTTGGCATTACTGTTCAAGATGGCGACCGATTTACCACCTGTCAAGTGATTTATTCTCAGTTTGGTTTGGCAATTAATCATAAATAGACTGAGCAACGCTTGCAAATAGTGCAATTTTATTTCTAAAATAATGGTTCTGTGCGGAATACGTATCAGTAGTTATTCTAACGCGGGACTGTGACGATTCAAGGTCACCGATGGCATTTTCCATCAGCTGTATACCAAAGCCAGTTCTTCGTAAGGGGGGTCATGTAAAAGAAGTAAAGGTCACGCCGAAGAAGTGGAAACTGTCACCATTAGGGTGTAGACAGGTGTACGGGGACCCCTGGGGGTGGGTAAGGTAATTACACCTGTGTCGAAGTGTGACGTCATAGTGCCTTTTTGGCGCCTCCCCTTGGGGAAAAAGTGGTGTCACTGATTAAAAACATTTTATGACGTCATAGTCGCTAGTGCCTTTTTGGCAATTGCACCCCGGTAAAAAAAGGGGTTCGTAGAAAAAAAATAAATTTCGTAGTGCCGAAAAGGCACTACGTCCATTTTATCGTCGACAAAACAGTTAATTCGATTAACCATGGAACGTTTTCGCACCACGTTTACTCTCATTGATAACTCGCATCCCCAGAGACGCCGTACGGTGCGTACAGAAGAAGCTATTGCTGCTGAGCAGAGGAATTGAATCTGTGTCCATCCACTTTATGGAAGATTTTGCGGAATTATCTTGGTTTACGTGCTTACAAAATCCAACTCGTGCAAGAATTGAAGTTAAACGATCATCAAGTAAGGCGTAGATTCGTCAAATGGGCCCAAAACGAGATTGCCGTTGTTCCCGATTTTCATAAGCGAATTTGGTTTAGCGATGAAGCGCACTTCTGGTTGAATGGCTACGTCAACAAACAAAACTGCCGCATTTGGAGCGAAGCTAGTCCTCAAGTGTATGTCGAAACACCGTTACATCCAGAAAAACTGACTGATGATGGCCAAAACGTTACAGTCAATGGTGATCGGTATAGAGCTATGATTACTAACTCTTTCATTCCTGATTTGAATAGCCATGTCCAGGAGATGTGGTTTCAACTAGACGGCGCAACATGTCACACAGCTCGTACCACAATCGATTTATTAAAAGACACGTTTGGTGACCGCCTAATTTCACGTTTTGGACCTGTGAATTGGCCTCCAAGATCTTGTGATTTAACACCGCTAGACTAATTTCTGTGGGGCTATGTAAAGTCATTGGTCTATGCGGTTAAGCCACAAACGCTTGAAAATTCGGAAGCCAATATTCGCCGTGTTATTGTCGATATATGGCCACAAATGTTGGAAAAAGTAATCGAAAATTGGACGTCCAGATTGGACTACATCCGCAGCAGCCGTGGCGGTCATATACCAGAAAGCATATTAAAAATGTAATGCCACAAGATTATCTTTCGGATAAATAAAATTCATGGCAATCGAATAATCCATCGTTGTTTTATTGCAACTTAAAGTTCCATACATCGAAAAAAAACACCCCTTATATATTAGCGTTAATGGTAAAAACTTTAACGAGAGTGTCCCATAAGTTCGTTATTGTCACATTGCGTACGGCCGAGGAAAACGTTACAAAAGAAAACAGGAAATAATTGTCAGCATGGTGAAAAAAATTGCTCTACGTTCTTTCAAACCTATCTGTTGCTATCACGAGCAACAAAAGCGGAGAAAATCGGGATGTAAATCATGAGTTTGAAAACAATCCTCTGGAAGTGATTTATCCGGCGATGGATGCATTATTTCGTGAGTCCCGTACGTTTTACATAACGACTCTTTCGGTTGGTATTGCTTTTCTGACAAAGTTTATTTATCGTCTACAGCGAATCTACCTACTGTCGAAATTAGAATTTTCCGAAAACTTTGATTCTTACTACTATATTACTATATAATATAACAACCTCTTACGAAAATATTATTTTTTAGTTTTTGTTAATTTTGTAATCGTATTTGTATAGATCTCTTATTTTTTCATATATTAAATGAACGCACAGATGGTGATATTCATATAATTCGGTCTTCCTAAAAGAGATAAAAAGAAGGAAGACAGACACTGCAGAAAACAGTAAAAATCAAATCAGCTGGACTATGGTATTATGGAATCGTGCTCATAGGAATAACCACAAAATATGTATTTGACCGATGATAATTATTTAGTGTAGGATCACAACTAATTAGTGCACGATACTATACTTAAACAATGAATGACTAAAATATGGAAAAAAACTAATTTTCATTTTTTACAATAAATAGAAAATATTTAGAAGGAATAAAAAATGTCAAACAAAAAGTTGAAAATGCTCAATATTAATTTCTTCACAATATGCCAATCGGTTTAACACACGTTCCAAAACATTCTTCTTCTTCTCCTGTTTCAGATGTTGGCGATCATCATCGTTATTCGAACTTTATTGCAGCACATCTGAATAGCTCGGTGGAGGTAGCACCATACCATTTGCGAAGGTTTGCCAACCAGGAGATTCCTTCTACCCTGGCCTCTTTTTCCTTCTACTTTTATTTTCATTTCTCATGACGTGCCCAAAATATTCAAGTTTACGTTTTTTAATTGTCAGTAAGTTGTGGCTGGCATCTCATTCTGTTCAGGACTTTATTATTTGTTATGTGATCTGTCCAAGTTATATTCAGGATTCTTCTGTAAATCCAGATCTCAAAATCATTAATTTCTTTCTTCAAGCACCGCATAGATAATGCATATGTGCGGCAGGTTTTTCATTGTAGTGAAAGTACTTCGAGCTTTTTCTATGCGACAGACGGAGTCCTTCCTAAATAAGTGAATTTCTCAATCCTTCCGATGACTTCGTTATTGATGAGCAGTTGGAGTTTTGCTGATTACCACGTACTTTGCCTTTCTGGCATTAAGTTCTAGACCAAAATCGTTGCTGGTATTAATTAAGAGACCTCACTAGTTCTTGTAGGTTCTCCAGAGTGTTAGGTATCAAAACAGCGTCGTGGCATAACGGATGTTACTTATTTTTTCTCTATTTATTTTTATGCCACTCCGAATTCCATCCAACGCTCTCCTAAAGATGTCCGCAGAGTAGACGTCGAATAGCAGTGACGACAGTACACATCCCTGTCTTACTCCCCGACGAATTTCTACAGGTTCGGGGTATTTTTCCTCTATACGCACGACTGCCTTCTGTCTCCGGTACAGGTTGATGATAATCAGCATGTCCTTGGTATCAATTCCTATTAGCTCCAGAGACTCCATGATTTTACCGTGTTGTGTGAATGTTCTGAGCCAATCTTCTTCAATGGCTTTTAACAATTCCACTGGTATGTTGTCTACTTTTTGCCGTCTTGATAGTGTATTGGACGTCTGAAATGGTTATATTTGGGCCTTCTGCATTTAGGAATACTACCACACTTTGAATTTTTCTTCCACTTCATAAACTAGGGTGCTTTTTATATTTCCCGGTGTTCTTTTGCTTTATCTACCAGTCGCTTCATTTATCTTTGGTGCCAGGAGCAAGGGCTCCAAAACATTACCCATGATATTTTCACTACATTTCCTATACATCTAAATTTGGTGATTTTTTCTTATACAGTTTTGATTTTGAATATCCCAAGAGGAAAAAATCCAGTGTCATTCTCTTGATCCCTTCTACCAAGCCATTGTCGAGCAAAACGGGGCGGAGCGCCAAATATGACTGTCTGGAATATCAGACCGATTTGGATTTAGGAAAGAAACTGCGAGAATAGAAACGCAGTCATTTTGAAGATATTTAAAATGTCGGGCTTCTTTAGTTATTCAAAATCCCTGCCCAAACATTTTTTTTTTGTGGATGTTGTGTATGATTTTCTTTCATCCATCGGGGAATATTTGTATTCCAATATCTACAATTTTATTTATTTATCGTACCATTTAAACTAAATATAACCTCATTACTAGACACTATCTGAGATTGAAAAAAACAAATACATAGAACTGAAAAACCATTCGTTAGCTAACATCATTTTTTGATGCTACTTAAGAAGATGCACGATAGGGACCATCCCCAACTTTCTTAAATTTTTAATATTGTTTCCTCAAATTTTCTCTCAATTTTACTGACGGTGGATCTTGTAATAGTTTTTTTTTAAATCCAAAAACTGATTTTTGAATGGATTTGTTCCATATTTTATGGATATCAAACACAATATTGTGCCTCCTATTTATTTTATTGCTATATGGTGGAACGACAAATAAGTAGACGATTTTTATGAAACTGTTATTAAATATATTCGTGACGCTCTGGTTTGAATTGCGAGAGATCCAAAAAAACATTTAAAAAAGAGGGTTTGACAAAAAATTCAATACTACTACTCCAACAACGGTATTAGGCATATATCGGTGCTCTATTTATATTTGATTTGATATCTTTGTACAATACTTACGTATGACAATCATCGACTGACTGTCTGTTCCAGTATCAATATGAGGTAAATCTGTCGTCACCTCACAACTAAATCTTCCGGACAAATGGAAGTCTATGTCTTTCAAAACAACTTGCGTTTGATTGGAGCGCTCTACCTGTAAGAAAAAAGAGAAACGTAAAAGAACATTTTTTACGTAACCCCGATGCCGAAGAACAATTGCCGGTTTAAGCGAAATAAATCGGGACGTAACCTTGAAAACATTTCAATTTTTACCCTCGGACTTCTATAAACAACGGTGTTACTTGGACTTTATTTCGAGTCTGAGTAGGGAAAAATTGCAGCAATTTGCGAAAAGAACAACAGTTTCGAAAAAATATATTTCTCCCGGGCTGCAATTTTCTCCTAACTTTACAGCTTAGACGAACTGATGAGACTTGTATCCGGCAATTTAGAGGTCGAAAAAGAATCCGGAACTTTAAAAACAATTGCAATTTTCTGAAGTAAAACGGATCCGCTAAAGTTCTTTCAATGCCTTTGTACGGTTCGAAGTTTTACTAAGGAAAATTTAAAAGTAATAAAATGCATATTGTCGGTATTATTTTCTTTTGATAGTTCTCAAATTTAAAATTGTTGTTACAACTTTTGGTGTGATAGGATAGTTAACATTCACCGGGCGTTTGGTTCAGTAACGAAGATGAAAGTCAAGACGGCAGCTCACAAATGATTGCTTTTCCTAAACTCCATTATGTATTCACCATGGAAAGATAATAAAAAATCTTCTAAAACCAAAGCCACTTTGCTTTACACTGACAAAATGGCTAGGATATTTGATTAAAGTTCTTCAGATAAAAGAAAGCTTGATTTGCAGAAAATGAAAGCTTCAAAAACCTGCCCACAATCTTCACTTGGTAGTTTCATATTTGACGTAACAATTTCCTTTGTAACAAAGTTACACTTCATCGTGAAATCTTAGTAAACCTCCTCCCCCTGTTTTTAAATTATTATGTTCAAGGTTTGACTATAGAAAACAGTACAAAAAAGCAAATATCAAAAACTCGCTGGAATAAAATTGTGGGAGCTCGAGAGTATTGTCTGATGCGTTTAAAATGTGCAGTAGTCTACAGCACACTTATTTTGGCCAAAATTATTTCTTAGTATTTTTTATTGTGAATCAACTTCAGAAACGTGTTTTGCTTGTTACTGTTATTCCAAGGATACTTTTTATAGACGCATCAACACATGTATTCCAGAATGGTACACGGACTCATCTAAACAAATCTCTGTTAAGAGACAGAACTTGCATAAAAAAATAAACTAATATGATACCTATCTGTAAATCTAGTAGGACATGCATTATTGTGTATCATCACTTGTGCACGTTCCCCTTTGACTTGACTTGAGAAGAAAATATTGTGTAACACTTTTATAAAATTGCGGCTTTTTACACTAGCATTTCTTATTTCCTTTGCTTGCGTTATAAAAATTATTCGGGCACAAGAACACTAATTTTGACAGAAACGCCAGATATATATGTATTTACAATTTTACCTACTTCATAAATGTTAACTGTCCAACTCTAAGTTATCCAATTCTAAGGAATCCAAAAAATTGTCTATTTTCGACGACTCTCCATCTAAATCTTCTATATCCTCACCAAGATTGTATTTATAGGGATTCAATTTTCAATTTTGATTATTTTGTTTTAAGGGACAACGAAGATATAAACGGGTCTGAGGTATCCGTTGCTCGATTGAATATGTCGGTGAAATTATTAATTCTGCTGCCTTTTGTGGCATGAAAATCCCTATCCTGCTTATATATCTTTTATATATTTATACACTCCGAAGCTTCCTCACCAAAAAAACCTATCCGCAACACATGGTTTTTACTGATTTGTTTACTATGTACAATAATTTTGTGAATTGCAAACTATGGATATATTTCCATGAAAAATCTTAAATAAGTTTATTGGAAGCTGACACACCTGTTATCTCTGCAAATTCTTGAGCATTGGAATAAGTTTTCCTGGTCGTGTTGCCGTCGTTAACCACTGGATTTTGGCTTATCAACGTGCAAGTCTAAACGAGACAAAAATAGAATTTGGATGAGCAGTTTTCGCATCACGAAAAATTGTGTCATTTCATTATTCCAGACGATAACGCCATTTGAGCTAGTTAGCATGATGGTAGCGAAAATACGCGTATCTTGTGTACCTCCAAAAGATATTTTTTGTTTGTATTGAGCCTGCCCTGAGCTTCCATCAAAACCATAACTCACAATTAACGTAGCTGATATCTGGCTTCTAGAAACGTTGAGAAAGACCTCTTCCTACGTAAGTAATATTCTTTGTGTGGTATGGTTAATAACATCTTGCAGGGGGACTTTTGCATTCGTCTCAGTAACAATGATATTCGATGGTCGACAGTCCTTTTGGCCTCCAAAATATTATTAGAGGTTGGATATATGTCGTGATTTCGGGCCTGTGCACCCAATTAGATAGCCAAGTATTGTTGTTTTTTGGTTTTGGTAGCAAATAATTCTTTTTTGATTATTGATGCACGTGTCGGACTTCGTGTGGCCTCTTTCAGAACAAACGACAAATCATTGTCTCCACCCACTCTTGCATCAACCGCTGCCGCATTTACTATTAACTGAGTATCGTGATTTATTTCCAGAGAAAATTGTAGTCCATCTCTTCTCTGCGATCGAGCACTCTGTTCAAAAACAGGTAACTTTGGACGCTCCACTGACACTTGTTCACGCTGTATTGACGATTCAGTTTTAGGTTCAGCCCACTTTTCCACAACTATTAACCGCTGTATTGTATTTTCAATCGAACAAAGAGTTGTTGCGCCGCACTTTCTTCCATTTGGAGGCCAGATTAACGCAAAAAATACCAGTTTTTTTGCGAACATAGTTCTTATATTTCAATTTCATATATTATTCAATTCATTTTCATATATTGTTATCTATCATTTATTATCTAAAACAGATTTGGCAACAATGCTTTGCCAATGTTTTTTCTTCGATACACCGAACATTGTAAATTTCCTGATTCTTGAGCCTGTAATGACCTAAAAAAATGTTTTTTTCTCTGATGTTTGCACTTGATAGCAAAAAAAGTACTCAGCCACAAAGTCAATATATAAGAGTACCAAAAAACATTAACCTCAGAGTTATCACTCTTAATCATTTTTTTGTAGCCCCAACACAACTTCATACACCTAGTTTTTTTAATGAAAAACAAACTGCGTCATATTTATATCTATTACTAATTAAAACCAGCAAATAATTTACAGCCTCTTTTAAAAGTTTTCATAACCTCTATCTGAGTTTGTAATTTCCATTACGAAAAAACATCTGGATTATAACTATCATCAAATATCGCCGTCGAAATTCGAATGAAGCTTTTATTAAAAGAAGCGAAAACTTGACTTTCAAAGTCAAAGCCAACTTTGTGACATCGTCGCACAGCCGCCAATGCATTTTTTATCTAAACTTTCGTATTTCGTAATACCCTTAAATTTTGTTTGTTTGTTTGTGGTACCAGCCATAAGTTTGCTTTCCAGGACTGACTTTTAGATATTTTAGTCAAAATCAGAGGACTATATACTAACGTGCACTGCCTTGGTTCAAACCACATTTCGAAAAATATGGCAAATACCATTTTATGTATATATATATATATATATATATATATATATATATATATATATATATATATATATATATATATATATATATATATATATATTGTAAATATTTGGTTTAAATGTGATACTTACATCGACTATGATGCCCACAAACGGAAATGTTTTGGTGGGTGGGTGTTCGCTGGGCGTATATCTATAAAATTCGTGCAATCCTCTGTACCATTTCACAGAATATAGAACGTCTTTCTCCAGATCATAGGAACACCTTAAGGTCGAGTCGCTCATGTACTGGACAATTCTCGGCTCGATGGTAAGGACTACGTTTTTCAAACCGAGTACATCTGTAAAGAAAACAAAAATTGGCTTCGCAGTAGCGATTCAATGATGCGAGTAATGATCGTGTTTTTGAAGCGATACATTTTTGCTACGACACGGAATCTGAATTTTAAATTTCCAATACGTACGGCGGTGAATGCGTCTCGGAATTTAGATGTATTGGCTCAACTGTACAGAGATTTTTGTTCGATGAAATAATGTGAAAACTGGATATCGGTAGAGATGTTTCGGAGGCAATATTTGTCGGCGATATATTAAATTATCTGACCGAATTGCATGTAAACGTGGGTATGCCACATATACTTTGCTTTATTATAACGGCGATAATAGTATATCTTATGCACCATATGATTTGCAAAATTATTTTAACTTGCAGGTAAGATATAGTATTAATAAGTAAAAGTGTATCCAATCTTTAGTTGAGTCATACTTCATTCATGGGAGCTTTGGTTGGTTTGGGGTTTCAGCAGAATGTCGTTTCTGCCTTTAAAACTGTATAGCCAAAAACAGTAAATGTAAAGAAAATATTAAATTAAACGCAATATACTTCACTAACTAAATATCTGATAAATATAAATTATATGAGGTAAAATAAAGAACATAATAAAACTGACCGACCACAATAAGTGGTATAATAAATATTATATATAATGTAATAATAATAATAATAATAATAATAATAAGAATGAAATAATGATTACTTAATTTAAGTAGATCGTATTATAAACTTCCTTTTGTGAACTTCCTTATTATTAGATAAAACTCCAAATTAGATATTAATCCTAGTTGTGACTTTTAATTAGAAAATTACTAAGTTTATGATATTAATAATAAATAGTTATTATTATATTATATTATAACTTGCAAAACTTAGGCCATTATGTATGCAATAGGTCCGTCCCCATCGTCAATCAGAAATATCAAAGAAAATTCAAATTTAAATAATTTATAATAATAATTTATAGAATAATTTAAATATTTTTTCCATTTTTTTGTAAAATAACAAATAAAGAAATGCAACTAATTAAAAAGTACCCCCTAATTGAATCCAAAAATAAATCACAAAAGGTAATTTGATTCTGATAAACCCTGATTATCTATTTTCCTTATGTTTATGATTATTGAACCCCAAGCTAACCTGATATTATGTTAAGCAACTAAAGTTTTGTGCTAAGTGCCGCATAAAGTATGGATGTTATTATAGATAATTAAGGGCTAACTGATATTATTAACTATATTCACTTGACATTGCAGTTATCTGCAAAGAGGGATTAACTAGTGACGTTCGTGTATTTTTATAAATCAAAGTATAATAATTACAAGTTCTATGCTTAGGGAATGTTATGTCGAATTTGTACAAAAAGCAACGACTTCATATTTTTGCTTTCATTGTGTTGAACCTTACGAAAACAAGAATGAACCAAATAAAAACTACTTTGAATATGTGTTGTGAGTTTGGGATCTTAAATTCGCGTGTCAGGTGTGGGCATATCATTTTAGTAATATTGTCTAACAACAAATCTAGTCTTTAAAAAGTTGCGGCATTTTAAAGTGTCTTTTCAGGGCTTTGAACATTATAGTAAATTGCAATTAAGTTTATTCAAGCAACGTCTTTAAAACTGAATAGCCAACAACAATAAATATTGGTCGGGCAAACGCTGTTTTCAGAGTTCGAAGGACCACTTATGAATCTTTTGGATTCCCGATAGGTTCAGCGGAGTAACAACCACTTAACTTTGTTTTTAACTACTTTAATAAATATACTGTACTCTGCAAGTCAAACCGAAAGAAACAAATAAACATTTGTATTGCATATCAAAATTAATTAAAATTAGGAAGCATTCGAGGAGCGTCTCGATCCACGCCCGTTCCACGCGTGAATCCCGTCGGAACCCGTCTTTTTCATCCTTTTCCTAGTGCAATGTTTGCCGGGTTGCGTCAAAGCTTGGAATTAATATTTAGTCTTTCGCCTGAACAAATATAAAGAAAAAAATTGTACCAACGGAATGCTTTAACAGGTATCTGGGTATAAAGCAATTCAGTTTAACAAAATTCAAGAACTAATGATTTTTTAAACATAAATTATTTAATATGTATAATATAAATTTGCTTTTATGGGCCGAATACCATGCTGCAAACAAACGTATTTATTATTTTTCATATCCACGTATATGCATCGTTATGCTGGTAGTGATCCAGTAGAGTTTCGATTTATTAATTAATTACTTCAACTATGTATTCAATAAATTTCTTTAACTTAGATCCTTATGTATGCAAAAAGTACCAATCGCCAACAATTTAAATTTAAATACTTTCTAACAATAATTAAAATTATTATTTTAATAACTTTCATCAGAGACTTAATATTTCTGTATTCAATGGCTTGCTACTTTAGCAAGTTGAGGATTTAAAATTCTGGTGTCAGGTGTGGGCACCCGATGTTGTGGCAAGTTATTCAATAATGGATAATTAAAACACTAAACAAAATACCCTTAAAATACCACCCTATCATTTCAGATGCAGCAGCATATTAACCTGAATAACAAATACAGCCATCAGGACATTATTCTGGAAGTAAAATTTCCAAACTCCATCATTACTATGGAGTTTGGCGTTTAGCGCCGCAACGAAGTGAAATTTGGCCCCATAAAAAGACATTTAAAACCGCAGTAAATGGTTAACAAGCAGTAAAAACCAACTACCCATCCATTTCATTACAGTTTAATCCCGCAATTTTAGATTACGGGATATAACGCCGCTTTCAAAATCGCTTAAGCCATTAAAGATCATTATTCAATGCACATTTTTTTTATTTTTTCGATAAAAATCCCGGAAAACACATGGATGAATGAATGAATTTCGAGCACGCAGCTTAATCTCCGCTACAACACAATATAAAGGTTTTGTTTATTTTTCTTTTTTTTTTTAATTGCTTTGTCGTAACTATCATCCCGATAAGCGTATTGACTTCTCATCGTGTTATGTTGAGTCATTTCATTTCTTGTGAATCGAATTATGACTTTTTACATGTGACTACGGCTGTTTACGCGTTCCCATAACGTAATGGAAAAACAAGCAGGAATTAATGATAGTTGACTCATAAAGCTCAATAATAACTACAGCCCTTCTTAAGTAATGATAATATCAATTCAATTTATAAGTGGAATTTATTTTTTTAAAGCATTTATCGACTACGAAAATACCATTGTTTCTATAACTCAAAAATAACATTGATAATGATCTAAGTAAAAATTGAATTTGCTATCTACTTATATAATTTTTCAACGTTAATTAATAAGTAAAAGCTATTTTTGTCGCTATTTCAAATGTTCAAATTGGTGGTGCAGAAATCTGTTGCAGCTTTGAGATTGTAGAGCTCTTTCTTGAAAAGTTTGATTGACGTCCTTGAATTTGACAGCCGCCATATCTATGGTTCGTATTCTAATCAGATCCCAAGTCCACACTCATGAAGAGCAGTCCGATCCGTGTTTGTCTGTAATAGTCCGCGACACCATCGAACATTTACTTAGTGCTTGTATTTTGTTGTATTTTCGGATACAACTATCCATTCCAGGCTAAACAAAACATAGTTATAGCGACTCCCTTTATTTTGAGAGTAAAAAAATTACTGCATTGCAAAAAATAACTATTATAACAACAATAACTAGCTTAATCGAAAGACCGACTTCTGCCCTAGTTCGTTCTTCAAGCGTAGCTGATGGTTTCCAAGTTGTAAGAAATTTTTCTTCTTATCTTTCACTAGAAAGCGGTTACCTATTAGCCAGCGAGTCGTCTTGAACGAGACTAATATGTCAATCTTATAACATAACGTATACAAGAATAAAGTAAAGAATAACGTTTCTCACAAAGAAAATCTTGGAGGATCACAATGGCGTTTGATATTCTTTTATTGTATAACACTTTGAATGAATATGAAATAACACTTAATGTAGCATCCCGACAGTTTTGAACTAAGCCTTTTATAAAGTGCAACATTTTCGGCAAAGTATATAGCAAGCTAAATTGCAGATATTTGCTCTAAAAATTCGGTTACGTTTGCAAGTTATCTTAATGAAGTATCCGCCTTTGGTATTCTCAACTTATTATCTGCAAGGGTTTCACAAGGGAGAACTGCGAATATAATATTATTAAAGTTGCTTTAGCAATTTCGGTTCTGCGGCGGCGGAAGAGAGAGAACGAAAGTGCGAGAAGGAGACAGAACACAGAGATAATAAAATTCATAGGCCTTCGAATATTCAAGAGCGCTACTGAAACATATTTTGTTAGATTAATAGTTCTCCGAGGACTAATATAATCATTCCAGTTGCGCTCATAGGACAGGAATGTAGGATATTGTGTCGAGTTATATTAACAATCTGCAAATAAAAGTTCTATTTTTCATGATTTACGCCGAGATAGACATATATAGTATTTTAGTCGGGGGTTCATGATCTCTCCAATAAATTTGCATTACTATACTGTCTATTTATTTATTTTGTTTCTAGGAAGACTATATTTCTCAGCTAGACGTTGCTATTTTAAATTCTCTGTATAGTGTTATTGTGTATTATAAAGTATCCTGTAGAGTTTCGTTACTAACTATAATTTAACTTTGAACTAAATTTTATTAAAAATCATTCCTTCTCTGTATTTTGTTTTAAGGTGTATGTGCTTAAATTCTTAGGTTCTTTTATAACATATGCTACACAGAAAGTTTCATAATTTTCCACAGAGTTTTTAAACTTATTAATAGTTCTTTTCTCAACTAGTTACACAATAACTATTTTCTAATATTAACCTTAGGGTTGACATTTTTAAAAACTTAGTTTTGACAACCAGTTTTGTTTAATATCAGTTTCATCACCAGTTGTGTAGAAATATCAACTGTTTAAAGGACGTTGGGAAACAATGTTTTTTGTAACTCTTTCTATTCCATCGTTTTTGTGAGCTACAAAATTTTAGAAAGTTTTCTGTTATGAAAAAAAACACTTGAATGGGAGATAAA